ATATAAACATAATTTACCATATAACCACTCCTTTGTTGATTAAATACAATGTAAAATATTTTATTAATTGAATTAGACAATAAGCATAAGATCGATATACTTTTTATTAGATCGTCTTTAAAAATAATCAAGGTCATGACCTTTACGGATAGTTACCGACGAAGTATATAGTATACGAAATAATGCCGGATATTTGTTCTTAGTGAAAAGGTATCTCGTTTAAAATTAATCAAATAAATGAGTACATCGAAAATTTCCCTTAAAATTCTTCTCACGTTTGTCACGTTGACAGCCTAATCGATCACACATGATATCTCAAAACCGAAAGAAAATTGTAAGATAAATATAATCGGATTACGTAGAATAGAAATAAGGAAGAAGAATGATGAATAAAAGTGTCGAAGAAATGAATTCATTTCTTCGTAAGTTAAATGTAGCGATAAAGTTATAGATAAATCGTTTAATTCATACGATTCGAATTAATTAGTGGATATTTTATTTCAATTACCTTATTATATACTTCGTTAAAGAAGAAGAAAAAAATAACAAAGTTTTAACGTGACACACTGAAAAGTCGTAGATATTTGAGAGATTAAAATGAACCGTACGTATAGACCCACCGAATGTCAATTTGAGATTTGCCGAGAGTTTCGCATGGAGGATACATTAAACGTATCTGTACTGCATTAGCGCTTCTAGCGGAAATACCAATGAAATAAGTTGACCAATCAAACACGCGCTATTTAAATTCAATTGAAATACAAAAAGAATAAAATAGTAAAATATTCTTAAATAACCAAATATTAAATAATATCGATCTTTCTAAATACATACACTATGTACTATTTTTTAATTTTTTATTTCTCTCTTTAAAGGTCGAGTCACTTCTCTACTAAAAGTTCTCACATTTATTTAATCAATCAAATAAGTTGTGTCTTTTTACCGCCTTTCTGGACTCAACGGCACACAGTTTTTGTTTTTTATTTTTCCGGACACATTACTTTCTTCAATGATCGAACAAAACAATAAAAGATAATAATCTATTATTGGTATAGTAAAAAAGTGTAAAACCAATCATATCACCGTTCATAATAAAAAATGGCGAATCAGAGGTGACAAAAGAAATATAAAGGGCGAGAAGTCAAATAAAACACAGTGAAACAAAATAGAGTTTGATACATTATTTAATTTTCAATTTAATTTGTAAAGAATGTAATGAAATTGCATAATTTATATGTTTATTGCTTTTCTTGTACAGTTCAAGCGCATAATCTGCATGTACTATTTTTGTTTTCTTCAAATTTTAAGAATTGAAAATCGCCACTAATGGGTAAACTCCCCACCTCTGATAACACAAGTACGAGATAAACCATGGAGACTAGACAAGGAGCACGAGCTCCATGTATACAAATGGGATATAAAAATAAGAGGGCGCCCGTGTTCTATTTGTGCTAGGGATCCTATAGGAGGGATGCGCTATGTACATTGCTGGGGGACCGGAACTCGATTTTGCGCGCGAATGATTCAAACATTGAAATAATTATGAAATAATGAATTGCATCAAATACAGAAAAAAAATGAACTATATTTAATGATAATTAAAAATTTATATTAAAATAGAATAGGTTACACGAAAAAATTATTATAAATTCAAGCGGTCCCCCAAAATTTTCAGGCAATGGCACATAAGCTGAATACGAATGGCGCATCCCTCCTACAGGATCCCTAATTTGTACCAAAATGGAAGGAGAATAAGGCGGAAGTTTAAAACAAAATTATAATACAAAACTAAGGGTAATCTTTTAGGTTGTTTAAGTATAAATAATTGAAATTAAATAAATAATTATTTAATAATCATAAAAAAATGAGTAAATAGTAATAATAATAATATTAAATTTAAATTAAATCCTTATCATTTAGAAAAAAATAGTATTAAATGTAAATTTTATTGATAATACAATTCAGTCAGATAAAAATAATGGTTATTGTATTTTTTCAATAATTATTTACAATACAAAGTTAAAAATATAAGTAAAATACTAATACTAGTAGTCATGGAGACTACAAAAGGAGCACGAACTAATATCTTTGGTACTTTAAAAAACATTGGTTTTTTTAAATTCAATTCCCGTCTTCGTAAGAGATCAGTTGCACTTCCGCTATTGCAATTTTTAACTGCCCACACCCTGCCCATTTTTATATTTATAATTTTTTATTAATCTTATTTTTAATATTTTATTTTTGTTATTATTTTTTGTTTACATACAAATATTAGGGTTAAGAACTATTTGCTCACTTCACGCATCGGTATGTTACTATATTCAAAACAGTACAAAAGGAATATTAGCGACACTAGTAGACACGGTTTGCGTGGACACATTTTGGCAATTAATACGTTTTAAATCGTGCTCCTTGTCTAGTCTCCATGAGATAAAAGAATATAAAAACAAATGGGTAATGTAGATATTAAAATGTATTTAAAAATACTTACTGATATTAGCGCCACCACGTGGCGTAAGCTTCTACTAATGCATAAAACACACAGATTCAGCTTATTCGCTAGCGTCGGTAGGAAGTTCTTCCAGTTGTAAAACTGTGCGATCTCAAATATCACTTCATCAGAATTTTTATACGGAAAACGCGGGGTGCTAGGAAAAATTGGCTGTTGGGTAGTTGGTGATTTTAGGAAGAAGCTTTTCCAAGCTAAAAGGACGGGCGAATGTCGAATTTTCTTATCGTTATTTGGAGGTACGCGGGTCATGAGACCGCAGGAAAATGAATAATGACGAATCATTTGGAAAATATATGATTCGATCATGATGAGGAAGACATTCAACAATACCACTGCGGATGCTCGAACATCTGATTGCGTCGACTTTACACGCCGTTTGTACAAGTAAAATAAAATTATTATTTTTTATATTTCTTTTTTATTGAAAAAAAAAAAAATACTTTTTCTATATTTTGTTTTCTAAAAATAGTGACGTAATTATCATCGAAGTGTTGTTTCCTAACCTATCAAACATCTCAGTTTTAATCGCCATGCTGTTTCATTGTGGTCGTTTAATGTTATATTTTTATATTTCACCTCTCACACACATTTAATCTGAAATAAAATAACTTTTTTATTTTATTTTCATATTTATACAACACTGAATATTATTTCACATGGTCCTTTTTTTTTTTTTTTTAAATAAAACTATATTGTGCTGTTTTCTTTCTATAATGCTTAACGCTTTGATTTTAGATGCACACACAATGAAATTAGATTTATTTATATATATAGCTTGTATTCATCAGAAAATATATTTATATTACAGAAATATAACGGACGTTATTAAGAGGTTGGATGAACAAAGAAGTCGAGCGTTAATAGTATCAGATATATTTCTACCTTCCAGTGAAGTATTACGAGTCAAATTAAAAGATTATTGCGAAAGATTAATTTTTAAAGATCCTGTTGGTCATGGGCGTAAAACTGAAGAATTGTTATGGAGAAAAGGATTCTATGATATCGTATACGCAGCCAAGAAATTGCGAAAGGTAATCAAAGTCTTACAATTTTCTTTTAATGTGTTACACGTTGTGTCAGTCTCTATGTCGATGCTTAATATATTAAATATAAATAATCAAGATGATGAGAACAGAACTATATGTTTTATCGTAGAACAATGCCTGGACGGATGCAGAGAAAGCTTTACTGTTGATTCATTTGGCAGTTGGCATAGGATTTTATCATCACTTGATACTAAGATTACAACTGGAATATGGTTTAGACTTAGTTGGTGTTATCGATTTTGCATTCAATCATAATGACACTGGAACTTTACCTGTAAGTCTTTTATTTTAATGATAAATTATTAACTCCTTGTGCTATAACAATGCGTTACACTTGTGTGTGTGTGTTTTACAGCCTAAATATGAAAAACTAAATATTAATTTTCTTTTTTTTATATATATATATAATATTATAGACAAAAAATAAAAGCAATCAATCTAAAGTTTTTACGGAAGAAGTGAAACAATGCATCATGAGACTCGTTCACAGAAGTCTTATATGTCTTGGCGATTTGACTAGATACCAATTGGAAATAGATCCTAACTGGGATCCTATGATAGCAAACAGATATTACAAAATGGCAATATGCATTGATCCAAATATTGGAATAGCACATAATCAACTTGGTACAGTTGCAGGCAATAAAAATTATGGACTCGATGGGGTGTATCATTATATGAGATGGTTAGTATAATTCATACAATATTATTTTATTTAAAGTAGCTATAAATGCCTGTTAAGTCTCATAAATAGTACTTTACAGTGTTCTATGTTCTGAGCCTTTTGAAGGAGCGGAAGGGAATTTGAAGAGAATCATTATTACACATTCAACTTGTTCCGATGATAAATGTTCAGTACAACATTGTATATCAAGATTACTATCTCTGTTACAATTATGGGATTGTGAAATTCCAAATTCTGACCGTGTTAATCAAGAAGGCCAGGTAAATTTTCAATGGAATTTTTTTATTCGTAATCTAATATAGTGTTTTAGATAAAAAAAATTTCTTATCTTTTTTTAGGATCTTTTAAATGACATCGAAGTTTGTTTGAGCATGAAACAAGTTGATTCAAATAATCCAAAAGATATTAAAAATGAGGACAACATTGAAAATTATCTTCAATCATGCAGAAATGAAAATGCATCTTATTTAACGGATGAAATAATGTTTAAAATAGTTGCCATTTGCCTAATGTCAATTTCTAAATTAAAAAGTAAAGAATCCAGCGAAGTACATGGAGTCATTGCTATAATATTGGCAATATTATCACAGTTAGTACAATTTGCAATAACGCGAATGCAAGAGTCATTGACAGACGTGCCATTGGCTTTAACTGAAGTAGCAATTAATGAGCCTTGCTCTACGGAAGATAGTAATAAGAACGAAATGATTAATAATACAAAAGTAACTGGAGAATATGAAGAAAAAACGAAGAAAGAACAGATTGAAAATGCTCCATGTAAAAATAAGGAACTTAATAATTTAAATGATATCGATAAAAATTGTAATAACACGAAAGAAAAGTCTGAATGTAATGGGAATATACATAAAAGTACAAAAAAGACATCGGACAAAACAAAAAGTTTACTTACAAAACTTCGACGACGAAAGAGAAGAAATAGTTCAGATTCAGAAGAAAGTGATATAAATCATATGAATGTAGGATCATCCAGCGATGAAGGGAACTCAGATATTTCTGAAACAGAAGATGATGTCCTCAGTGAAGAAAATGTATTATCCGATGACGCTTTATCTGACGACATATCTGATGAAGAAGGTATTTCTAAAGAAGAAACACTAGAAACTGTTAATATTAAATCAAACGAACAGTTAAATGGTAACATCGATAACAACAAAACAAATCACGAAGAAGTTATATCTTTACAAAATGGAGCAGATATCCATTTGCAAAATGGTGAAAGTCTTAAAAATGATGAGCAAACAAATGTAAACGCGATGAATGATAAAGAATCGCTAGAAAATTCCAAAAGTACTACAACCATAACAACAAATATTGATTCCAGTAGCGCATTGGACGAAAGCAGTGGATCTACAAATATTTTAACATATATAGCACAATTGAAAAAGCATGATTTGAAGCCAAACGACAGTTTAAAAATTTTAGAATGCCAAGGGGGGATACTTTCGTCAATAAAAATTTGTTGCGATTGGTTAAGAAATAACCACGATATCATAAGACAATGTGCACGAAGTTCAAAAATCTTACTTAAACGAATAACGATATTATTAAATTTATTAAATTTTAATACCGAAGTTATTTTGAGAGAATGGGATAAAAAGATTATTTTTATTTCAAGTAATGAGGATTTGCAAAATCTTGTTAAACTCGTGCCACTTCCAGAAGATTTAGATTTGAGGGGCGTTAACATATTGGAGGATGCTCAAAAAAGTTTAGATTGGAAAATATTACACAAATGTAACATGAACAAACAAATGGAATTACTGCTAAGAGCATTAAAAATGATCGAATTTGGTCATTATCTCAGTTCTATTAAAGATTCTGGGATTAAATTTGACAACGATAACAAATTGTTTATAACAGCCAGTCCAAATGTTTCTAGTGCAATAAAAGGTGATAACTTAGAGAACAAAGACTTAGAAGCTAATCAATCTAGAGGCAAATTAATGAGACACATGGGACGACTTTGGTTAAAAGCTGAAGTCAGAGCTTTGGAGACTCGTTTACGATCGAGATTGATGTCACCTTTTTTGGTACCTGATCACGAAGCTTTAGCTAAACATACTCCAGCTCTTAAACGTTTGGTATATGCAAAGAAATTTATTGTGGTCATTCCTACCATTGGTAAAAATAGTTTGATATATTTTTTTAATCAAATGTATAATATATATATATATAATTTCTATATAATATATTATTGAACATTACGGTAATCTATATATTTAAACAAAAATATCTGAATTTGTAGTGGTCTCTGCTTTGGATGAAGTCAAACGAACAAGTGGTCGTGCCAGAGAGGCAACTCGTTGGTTAGAAACACAGCTGAGAAAGGGATCAAGGTTTCTGCGAGCACAAAGACCAAACGAACGACAAGCACTTCCTTTGATTAAAGGTCCAAGACCGAAGGATAAAGAAGCCTGGTTATTTTTTCAAATTATAGAATGCTGCCATTATCTTACTCAACAAACCAAAATTGGATTAACAAATGATACAGAAGCTCCGGTTGTAACACTTCTTACAGGTTTTAGTCAAGATGAAAAAAGAAAATTTACTTTTAGTCCTGATGGATTGGCAAAGAGTGCAGGTAATTTAGATCTATACATTTTTATCTATATATATATTTATTATACGTATATATTGTTAACGTTGTTTTTCCAATTAGGTGTTAATATCGAGCATATAGAATCATTTCATACAAAGTGGAAGGCATCTAGCAAAAGTCATGGTTGAGCGTAATCAATGCTCGTGCAATGTCTATTATCTGTTGCTATCTTGAATCGAAGAGATAGCAAACGATACGTCCGTCTAAAAGAGAGCTGCCCAAGTTCTGCTCGGGCGAATACGACGAGAAAAGAGGGGTTGGAAACCCGTGAAACGAAAATTGATTCTTCTACAATTAAATTCGTGGAAATGGATAATCTTATTCCACGAAACAAAAACAATTCTAAATATAACAAAACTTTTTCTTTCTAACCGTTCATATTGTTTTATTCTCTCTTTCTCTTTTTTTTTCTAAGTTAAAGATTGTATTTTTAAAGTAAATGTTTTTTTGAATATTAACAAGACTATATATTATGTTTTATTTATCGCATCCGTTCAATTTTTAATCCTTGATGTAAAGAGTAACAAATGTCTTTTATGAATGAGATCAAGATTATAAATTACTTTGGCTAGGTAAAGAAATATTTTTAAAATGTGAATCATTTTCACACAATTATAGAAAACATTTGATATGCAACATCATCGATGATTTCATTTAGATACACGAATTATTATTATACACGTATACTATATACAAGATAAAATACCACTAAGAAAGTTCCACGTGGTAATAGAAAAGCAAAACCGGACAAAAATATACAATTGGTAACAACTAAAATGTATCAATTGATTGCCTTGTTACCTATGATGATGTTGCAAAATGAATAGTTCTAAATATATATATAAACATAATTATCTACCGATAATATTACCTCCAATAGTTTCTGTTATTACTTCTGCGTATTAAAAGTTTAAAAATTGTTTTTTCATTATTTATATTTTACATCCACGTTTACGTATGAATAAGCAAAGGTAAGAGAGGGACCCCACCTTATATTCAATTTTTTCAAGCATATGCGTGGATTAATAAAAGTAGTACTTTTACGCTGTTCTAGTGGCAACGTAACATAACCTATAAGTTGGTGGAATCGAAAATTTTTTCCGATATAAAAAGTCGTTAAAAGAATTTAAAAATAGAAATATTCGTGACAAAAAAAAAATCTCGAATATATTTAATATCGAGACAGTATAAATCGATAGGATCGATTGATATATCGGTTAGATGAAAAAAATATATATATTGTATATAAATTAAAACTCTTAGAAATATTTGACGTGTGCGTATATTGTGCTAGTAGTTTCCTCGTTTCTCACGCGCGTGTATCACCTCTGGGTAAAATAGTAGATCAAGTTGGCCCTTCTATGTAGACTTTCTAGTTCTTTGGAATAACTTGTTAGGAAAAATTTCGGGGTAGTTTGTTCGAAAATTGTGAAAAAAAATCAAAGGTGCGATTTGAGGTGGCGTGGAAGAGAAGCCCTCGGTTGTGGATAAAAGTTTCGACGCTTTCAATTCTATCCCATCGGAGATTTTCAATTGCGCACGAAAGTAACGAGTCATCTAGCAAATCAAGATGGCAGAAGGGCAAGAGAATCGGAAGAAGATTACTATTAACGTTAAAACGCCGAAAGAAAAACAGAGCGTTCAAATAGAGGAAGATGCGACGATTAAAGATGTAAGTGTCAGAACAAAAATGGTTGTGTTATTCGTACTTGTGCAACTTTAGTTCGTTCGATGAAACATCAGCTGTCACATTCGTCCGCGGGTTAGTTTTAATTAATTACTTTTTTCTTTTAATCAAACAGTTTAAAGTGGCGGTCTCGAAGAAGTTTAACGCCCAGGTTGAACAGTTGTGTTTGATATTTTCTGGAAAGATTATGAAAGATCATGAAACACTTGCTACACATAATGTCAAGGATGGTCTGACCGTACATTTGGTTATCAAAGCACCACGCACTCCGACTAATCAAGCTCAAGATTCTGTGCCCTCTCAGAGACCACAAGGTTTATATTATTTATATTAACAATGTTAATATAATTAATTAAAATTAAATATTAACAATAACATTTACAAACTCTTAATGCTGGTTATTCTTTTTTTGAATTTCATCAAAAATAATTGAAATTATAATTGGTAAAAGGAAACAAATTTAAGTTTTTTACATTTTTAATAGCATTGTTTTGTTCAAATAAAAGCTTGTTGGTATTAGGATAGGTAATATAAGCAATAGACTATATATTATACTATTTTATTATATTAAACAATATGATGAAACACTTACTTATTTCTATTTCAAGTTCCAGCTGATATAAGTGCCAGTCCTTTCGGTCTTGGTAGCTTAGGTGGACTCATGGGATTAGAGTCCCTTGGATTAGGTTCCGCTAATTTTATAGATTTACAGCAACGTTTACAACGCGAATTGTTGTCTAATCCGGAAACTATGCGTCAAGTACTTGATAATCCTTTGGTGCAGAGTTTTATGAATGATCCGGAAAATATGCGCAATCTGGTCACAACTAATCCCCAAATGCAGGAACTTATGCAAAGTAATCCAGAAATTAGTCACATGCTAAATAATCCAGAACTTTTAAGGTATGTGTATGTAATACTTAAAGATACCAAAAAATAGACTAACACGAGGAATATAATTTGTATAGACAAACAATGGAGTTAGCCCGCAATCCATCTATGTTACAAGAATTGATGCGTTCACATGATCGTGCTCTATCTAATCTTGAGAGTATTCCTGGTGGATATAGCGCTTTGCGTCGCATGTACAGAGATATTCAAGAACCCATGCTTGCTGCAGCAGCAAACGAGCGTAATCCTTTTGCAGCATTGGTAGAAAATAGTAGTAACCAAGATGGACAAACTAATCCACAGCAAGGCCAAGAAAATAGAGACCCATTACCCAATCCTTGGAGTCAAAATCAGAATGAATCTTCTACTCCGGGTCAACAGCAAGGTCAGGGTAGAGGTCTTTTAGATTCGCCTGGAATGCAAAGTCTTATAGCACAAATGATTGAGAATCCTCAATTAATGAGAAATATGTTAAATGCCCCATATACAAGATCCGTATTGGAAGCTATGGCAGCCGATCCAGCCATGGCCAATAGAGTGATAGCGGCAAATCCATTCCTTAGGTTGAATCCACAAATGCAAGAACAAATGCGTGCTATGATGCCAGCTTTTATACAACAAATGCAAAATCCACAAATGCAAAATGTTGTCTCTAATCCAGATGCTTTAGCTGCTATTATGCAAATTCAGCAGGGTGTGGAACAATTAAGAACCGTTGCACCCGAACTCGTGGAAAAGTAAGTTATTAAATATACGTTTATTTTTATATATTTTTTCTGGATAAATAGTATATACAAGTTTTTTTCTAGTTTTGGACTAACCGTACCTAGTGCACCAGCGGCAACAGGAACTCCAGCTACCACAAGCTCAACCCCAACGACAGGACGAACAACGGATACAAATCAACAGGATGCATTTTCTCAATTTATGGCTGGCATGGTAAGTATACATATCTTTTTAATAATCCACACATTTTATGTAAATATAACTATAGTTTACTATTTATTCTTATATATTAGGTATCGGCAATGGCACTAAATCAAGGAGTAGAAGCTGAAGGACAACCTGCACCACCACCAGAAGAACGTTACAGAGCACAATTAGAACAGCTAACAGCTATGGGTTTTGTGAACAGAGATGCTAATTTACAAGGTATTTAATGTCCAATTGACGATCAAAAATAACTCGTTAATAAATCTTAATTAATAATTACGTATATTTCTTACGTTAATATTTAACGAATTTTTTCTTATAGCATTAATTGCTACTTTTGGAGATATAAATGCTGCTGTTGAGAGATTACTGGCTAATGGACAAGTATCTATGAGCTAACCACCAATCCGCAATACTGTTATTCTATTTTTTTTATTCTTTACTACCTTTAATTATATCCTTATTTACCTCTTATGACTAGTATGAAGAAAAAAGATACACGAGGTAACTGGCTATTGAAAATTATAAACTTCTAATCTGAATCTTGACAGAATACATACTACTGACACGTTTAATATGCATTTGTACTTTTAATCCAAATAGTACTTGCTCAGTTATTTTCCAATCAATTTTTACTAGACAAAGTTATCAGCAGTTGAGTTAAACAAAATTTAATGTACGTTTCTTCGTAACGCCGAATCTCTTTAAGTTTTTCTTATTTCTTGTTTGTTTTCTCTTTGTACTTTCGATGTGCTCTAAAAGTATGTATATCACTCCGTTGATATAATCTATATTACACTTTTGAAAATCATTTCTGGTGGTATTTCTTAGAAACGATCAAACCTGCATGGAAAATAGATCGCTGCTGCTAATTGTCTTGCTTCGGGCTTTATCCATTACTCCATGATATTATATTCTCTAATCGGTTTTTCATAAATGTAATAATAATTATAATAATAATTATAACAATAATAATAATAATAATAAAAAAATAATATAATTATTACGATTATTACGCAATAGGAGGGTATATCACCTGTATTATAAATCATAATATACAAATTATTATTACATTTTTAAGAAAAAAAAATAAATGCAGAAATTATACGATATATATATGTCTCTATTGGTCTTGTATATTACGTATAATTATTTAGTTCTGTGCGACTTTATGTTTACAAAAACCGTTTATTAATAGTGATACGTTCCGTTTGTTATTTACTGTCGTTTTAAAAGATACACAAATTTTTGTAGAAAAACAAATTTATCGAAAATGGCTAGTTGGATAAATATTTTCCATGGAAGTTTTGAGAGTATAAGTATGTATATTAAACAAACTTGGTGTGCACCATCCCTTTTTTTTATTTTTTATTTTAATTTAGCCTGCCTATAAGCATAAACGTATTAAGCGTTACATGTCTTGTAATACAACTTTAGAGATTTGTAGCGTGGCGATCAAGAAACTTATGGCGTAGGTTGTGTTTATAGATGAGCGTACGTAAAGATTGACTTCATAAAAACGTCACATGTAAAAGTGTTGAACTTTAAAAAAAAAACCTTATTGTCGGTTAGTTTTAAGGTATTAAAAAAGAAAAAGAAAAAAAATTAAAAAAAATAAAGGTGAATGTTGTAAATTATCTTTATCGAGAGAAGGAAACATTAAATATAATTTCAATATTTTGGATTAATGTACGATTTACAGAAATATCCGTACGTATTATATTATCCTTTATGTATAATTCAGTATATTTGACTAAAACAAGAAATTCTGTAAAACCAATTGTATTACAAAATAAAATTGTGGTTGATTCATATCGATCGGGGTTTACGAGTACCGTTTGCTTATATACGCTTCTGTATATCGATCGTAGCGAAATTAATAGAAATAATTCAACGTTCAAGCAATATTTACTCTAGTATATAGTATTATCAAATTATTGACAGACTTTGAATATTTTAATAATTATGTAAATATATATAATATAATATTATTATATATATTTAAATATATAAAAGTATTCACATATATTTGTAATATTCAAATAACAGGGATATAATGTTGGTGAAACAATAGATAATAATTACATTTTTATTAAGAATAAATATACTGCGTCTTAGATGAAAAAGAATCTAATGTTTAAATAATATAATATATTACAAATATTATATATATATACATAATATCTAGTGATATTCCTCATATAAAAATACAGGGAGTCATAAGAGAGTATTCGTACTCCTACAATATCAAATAATTAATATTTGCTTGTAATTCATTGTTTCCAAATTATTGACAATTTGTATATACGACATATATATGTATCAAAAGATAAAGTATTAGGTCGTCTTATTTTTAGTAAGTTTTAGTACATCCTCAATTATTTATTATATATGTATATATATATATATATAT